AAAGGCAAGCAAACTAACTTAATGGTACAATGAAATCAAAGGCAAGCAAACTAACTTAATGGTACAATGAAATGAAAGGCAAGCAAATTAACTTAATGGTTTTGATCATTTAACCAATCCATGTTGCTAGGTCCATCGTCACGAAAAAGTCTTCGTCTCATAACATCCCTTCGTTCTAACTTCCAAAATTGTTTTGTTTCTGGGGACATATGAGTTGTATCCATAGCCAAAATTCTCATGGCTTGCATCTTTGAAAGCTCCTCCAATATTTAGATGTATTCTTGGTAGAATTACTCCCTCTCTTCACCTTCGCCGCCTTCCTCCCAATAGGCCTGGCTCTTTTTCAATAGGTGAGTCTTGACTCATCGGGGAATCCATAGGTGAATCCAATGTCGGTGTCTCATGAGTGGCATCTCGTTCAACACTATCATTGGATACGTTGGATATGTTTAAAAAGCTGATCGGATGGCCCAGCAGAAGACACGTGGAAGAGAGCCATTGGGCGGTTACTGTAGTGGCGCGTCAAATTTTTTTTAAAAGTTGGCGCGTGCATTGCACGCGCTAGCTTTAAAAAAAATTAAACCCTAGCTCTGACGTCAGCACAACCCACGGGCTGGCGCTTCGGCCAGCCTCCCCCTCGGGCCAGCCCAGGGATGTGGGCCCCACTGCTTGCCCTGGCAGCTTCTTGTTGCTGGAAACCACATTTTGGGTTTGCCCCCAACCCTCCCCTTGGGCCCCTTGCTGCCAATGCTCTAATATGCCAAAAATTATAGACGAGGAGTTAAGTAAGTGGCTCCGATGGTGATTGAGAGGAAAAGGGGCGGCTAGGGTGAGAAGGACCAAATTGCCATCGAATTATGTTACATGTGTTGCTCATGTGTAATTATTGACTGCAATTTGGATGAAATTGCCTCCATTATAACAGTAAGTGTGAAACTGGCCATATAAATTAATTCAGGTGCTAAATTGACTCATTTGTCAGTTCAGGGTGTAAGTTCATTTAGAGAGAGAGAGAGAGAGAGAGAGAGAGAGGGGTGGGTGGGAGTTTGGGAAGTCTTTTTGTTTTAAGAATATTATTTTTAAACAATTTTATATTAGTTTTTTGACACATCAATTGCATGTCATCAATTTAACTGACGGTGAAACTAACGGAGAGTGTAAATTGGTCAAATTTTAATACACTAGGGTAAAAAGTGATTAAATTAAAACCTCGTGGCCCATGTTAATAATGAACCCAAACATGTAGGGGTAAAACGTCACTTATCCTAAATTTAAGCAACCCGCCATGACTGGCGTTGACTGCTTGGATACTTTGTATATTTAATTTCTATTTTGACTTTAATTATTGGATATAAAAGAAAGTATTGGAGCTCCTACTATGTGATGAATTACTAATTAAGTACATTTTAAAATAATATATATATATATATTGTGAAATTTAGGGAAGGAAAGATTGTCTAAGAGATAAAGAACTTGAAGAATTTTTACATTCAATGCATCTCTCTCTCCCTAAGGCCTCTAGAACTCTGTATTGGGCATTAGCCTATTCTTATACAATTGCTATGTAGATGGCGTATAGTATAAGGAAAATCCTATTTGAGGTTTGGAGGTTTGATCCCCTCGAAGTGATCTACTCGCCTTCTTCCTTCCATTTCATTTTTCTAGTACAATTGATAGGAACTGATATTACCCTCAGTGTGCTTGTAGTTTATGATTTTGTTTGTTTTATAGAATATTTTGTGTTTTTCTATTTTCGGCCGAGGTGGCCGATGGAAGGAACTTTTGGGGCGTGCCACCCCCAAGCCACCGAATGGCTTGGATGGAAAAGGTTGGAAGGATATGTTGTGCTTCTGATTTTTGATCAAGTAATTGATTGGCCAAGCAAAGAACCTCCTCTTGACCTAGGTTCTTTCACTTCCTCGGGTTCGAGGATAGTTGGGCTTCATATGGATGTTTTTGTGATTTTAAAGTTTTTTTTAGTAAAAACACACTACTACAAAATTGTAAAACCACGACACAAAATAGGCGACGGTATAGTTTAAAACCGTCGTTATATTTTAAAAGATGACGATTTCACAAAAACCGTCGTGATATACCAGTTTATACACCACTAAAATAGAGTTGTGTTTTAAAAGACGACGTTTATAAATTACAAAGGTCGTCTTTTAAAACACGCTGCGCTCCTGAAGTGAGTTCGCTCCCGACCTAATTTTCAGATTTCCCCCCCACTCGAAAACATTCCCTCGTCTAATTCTCGCAGCGCTCTCTCAACTCTGTTCTTAAACAGTCCCTATGAATTATCCCCATCTCTCTTCCTCCCTCATCGTCACAGATCTTCTCTTCGTCTATCTTTCTCTTTTTGCTATGCATCTCTCTCTTGACCATTCGCTTCTTTTGCTTTGCAGGTCGTGATCGATAACGTCGTCTGCTCCACTGCGACTTTACTCAAGGTTTCTGAGCTCGCCATCTCGTCGCGCCATCGTGGTCAGTGAGAGTTTCGGTAAGAGATTTGGGGCTTTTGCTATTTCAAATCCCTAGTATCCTTTTACTTATACTCTCTCATCGATCTCCAGCTCTTTCAGATCAAACCCACCGAAACCCTAAGCTTGCTCCTTCTGCAACAAAACCTCCAAAGTCGTGAAGGCCTTTGCAATAGTTGGTCTGAAATTTTTATGTTCTTTATGATTTACCTATTATATTGTTTCAATTTGATTATGAGTTGTTGCTCTGTTTGGATTATGCTGGTTGTCTATTCATATAGATTTTTATTCTGGAGTGCATTTATTTCATAAGAACTCTGGTCAGTCCCCTTTCTCAGTCTCAGGCTTTAATTTCTCAAATAGAGATGAGAGATGCATACATACATACATACAACATATGCATGCATGATATACATATAGTATGTACTAGCAAAGGTGCCCGCGCGATGCTGCGGATTTTAAAACCGTCTGAAATGCGTACAAAGTTATGAAAATATGTAGCAAGTTTAAGTTGCAAAATAAAGACTAATAGCATGTTTTATATGTCGCTTGCCATGTTAAAATATTGATCATATTTTAATAAAACCAAGCAGCAATCAAAATATCAGCAGTTTTGAGCTGCTCCTTGTTGAAAAGAGTTTGGACATGCCTTTACATATATGCGATAATTTATTTTACTACTTTGGGCATAATATTCAGGGAGGATATGTGAACAAAAAGGGTCTAACAAAAACAGGAAAAATAAATAAAATAAAAACCATATTCAACCTCTTCTAGTCTTGCAATGCACACAGTCATCGGCTTCACCCAAGCATCTCTGAGTGACAATTCAAATCTACCATGAACCAATCCATGAGCTCAAACATAGAGCCCAATGAGATAATAAACCATCACACAATAGGCTTAATTTTGGTCGAAAAGAGCAATTCAAGGATATGGTTCTCACCTGAAATGGTTTGGTGAGGTTGCAAAATCACCTTTATCCTCATGCTCAAACCCTTCAACAACAAAAAAATAATGACAGGAAATTTTCATTGTAATTCCAAGCACATGCAAGAAAGAACAAAGACACCAAATTTTCAATCCAACATAATTATAGAACAAAGACTCAAACTTTCGCCCTTATGTCCTTGAGATTCCACAGAAACCCATGTGATTTCAACAAAAAGTAGTCATGTTATTAAGCGGGTGACCTCAAACGCTCTTTAAGCATAATTAGTGAACTCCTACCCACAAAACAATAGTAAAATATTTAAAAAGATGAAATTTTCTGTTTTTTTCTTGCATTTTTCTTAGCAAACAAACATTTTTAATTCAGTTTATGTTTGGGTGAATTTAAAGTATTAAATGTGATATGAGTTAAATTTACCTGCCATCAAGCACTCTCTAAAACCTGCAAAGTCGAGTAGTGTCAATAAGAGATTCAGAAGAACAAACATGAGCCCCCTCATATAGCTGCTTAATGGTAAAGATCGGCATAACTAATAGAGAACAGAATTAGTGAGTCAATCTCATCAAAGCATAAGCGTACTCACAAAGGATGGATTGGGATGGGCTGTAGCAGTACTTGTCTGGGAGAAATTCCTCCCATGAAAACTCAAAACCCTTTTTCAACTTAAAAAATACTTGGTCAGTCTGAAACAGCTTCAAAGACTTGAAGTAAAAATAAGAGGTACACGCTTATCCCAACCAATTTTAAATTGATGCCATTAGCTAATTCCTATGCTTTATTCACAAAACTTAAAACAATTAATTGGAATTTCAGCCTAGAAACTCATCCCTTGCTTAGCAGGACCGAAAACACCAACTAAACAGCTATATCCAAAGCCACAAAGGACCACATGCAAAATATTAAAAGAAACCATGGTTTTAAAAATAAAAATAAAAAAAGAAGAAAAAGGAAGAAAAAGCAGAATACTAGAGAAGAAATTAACTTGAGTATTTTATACATGCACAATCTTTTCATTAAATCAAAAAATTAGCTTGAGCAAAATCTGAACGGAAAGAAACCACTCAAGACTACCCAAATTAATGTGTTTTGGGTAAAGAAAAACATTGTGAAGGCACAGGAAAAGGGTTGTTTAAATGATCCTGAAAGCAAGTGTTTCTAAAACAGAGAATAAAAACATAAAAGTTTTTGAATCTTAGATCATTTGTTCACTTTTTGTTTCTTTTCAACATAAATATGAACCTCTTGTTTAACAGAACCAAAAACAACCACAATACAGCTCTATCTAAAGCAGCAAAACACCACCTACAAAACATCAAAAGTAGACGTGGTTAAGAAAGAAGAGGAGAAAAAGCAAGAAAAAGCAAGAAAAAATTGA